TGAGTGTTAAGAAACATGAGATTCTAGAAAATATTTGGGAATCCTGAAATTCTAGTAAAGATATGAAAAACATGCCATTTCAGTTGGCAAATTTTTATTGGCTGTTTCAGGTTGATAAAACTATAAATGAGAAGTTTTTTTAATAAAAAAGGTTATTATTTTGTTCGTTCAATATTAATGGTTAAGTCGATAGAAATTTTGACCTGTCATTTCCAAACTATTAATTAAAAAATATCTTTTGAAAAAATATTTAACTAAATAATTTGATTGAATAAAACAATAACTTTTTATTGAACAGGTTTTTCAAATTTTTACTACAATGGCAGGTTTTTTGAATATTTTCTAGAATGTCATATTTCTTAACACTCACCAGAATTGGCGAGAAATGCTCCTTCAAACGACGTTTTTTCAAATTCAAGAACAATAGAGTATAAAATCTAGCGTTAGCACATTTAAAGAACAAGACATTTTTCAGTTACAAAAGTTACAAATGCTCTTCACTTAATATTGTTAAGTTTTTTAAAATTATCAAATGTTTGCAAATGGTCGACACGTGAAAGATGTTATTAACATCATTTCGTTTTTGCAAAAAAGTAAATTTTTGCAACAATTTGGGCTAAGTTATGCTGCAAAAATTCTGTTGAAAAAATAATAATTAGGACACAAGTTTAAAAAAAACATTTTTAATTAATCTTAAAAATGCCATTTCTATGTAATTGAAGAAAACAATTGAGAGAGACCAAAACAGAGAGAAATTCTTACAATTTTCAAAAACATTAATAATAAATTCTGCATAATAATTTAAATTTAATAACGATTTCTTAATCTAGAAATATTCATAAACTACTATTTTTAAAAAATTAGTGTTTAATTCTCCTAGTCTATCACAAAGAACAATTAAAATATGAACGAAAACTTAAAATTTGTTGAAAATAGTTAAATTTTAAAATCCAAAAAAAGACTTTTTCTCAGGAAATATTTAAAACTAATTGTTTTTTTTAAATAAAATTATGTCCTAAATTATCTTTTTGTGCTCGATTAGTACAATTCAGCATAAAATATATTTTTAATAAAAATAATTATTTAAAAAATTTTTTAATTTTTGTAAATATTTTAATTGTTTTTTGTGCTGCACTTGCATAATTCAGCACAAAATTCGTTTTAAAAAAATGATTGAATTGAATATTTGAATATTTATGAGTAAAAAATGTTCTAATTTGCACAAATTGGCACCAAAATTATTTTTTTTTTTTGTAAAAAATAAATGGCTTTTCTAACTTCTTGGTTAACGATAAGCAAAGAGACAAATCATTACCAAAGTAATATTGGTTTACAATAGGATAAAAAAGCTGTATTTTTTTGCAAATATTTTCTCGATATTTTCAAAATATTGATTCCTAATATTTCCTGAAAATTGCAATGTTATATTGTATTAAAAATGGTATGCTCGTTAGCGGAAATTTTCGTACTAGTATTATAAACTTTTCGGCATTTTGTATTTCATTATTTCAAAACTTTCTATGGGATCTTCAGAAAATGTTCTGGGAAATATCTGGTGTGCAGTGTTGGCGCTATCGTCATAAAGTATATAAGTAGCGAGCTCTATTAAAGAACAAACTCAACTTTGAAAAACGATTACTCTGTTAAATTAGATACTAAGAAAAGTTTGAAAAAAACTATTGAAAAGTTCATTAAATTCTGCTTCAAAAAAGCTAAGGTTAAAGTAATTATAATTATTCTGTCAAAAGTTATTACACACGAGAGACAAGAAAATTAAAAAATTTCTGTATTTTCTATTTTCTTTTTGTAACGTCTTCGCAACACGCTACTATTATATGAAAATCTGCCTGATTTGAAATGTTTTACATTTTTTTTTCTAAAACAAGAAAAATTAAACCACCGAAGTGGATAAAATTACATTAAAAGAAAATTTATTTAATTCAAATATATACATATATATATATATATATATATATATATATATATATACACGGAGAGAAATTTTTCCCTTTAAAAGTACCAATACTATACTAGCGATTTTCGTATGTCCGTTTTCTTAACAAAAACGCTTAAAGTTATACTAAAATAGTTCCAAAAATTCCCATGCGCTAAAAGATCACTGGTATTAACGTTATTAGTAGCAATTTTATTTCTATATTGCACGAATGACAAGTGAACATAGTTCCCCGCTCTGCCGTGCGAGATTCGTTCAAGGCACATACCAATATAGCGTCAACATAGAGCGATTATTCCAATTAGTTGTCAAATAATCGCTCGACGTTTGACGCTTTATTAGTATGAACGAAATTCGCATGGCAGGATGAAGAACTATATTCACATGACATTTATACGAATATAGAAGAATCAACGACACTTTATCTCTCCGGAACAACCCAAACTATTTTAGTATGTCCACAAGTGGTATTGGTATAAATTTTATGCTATTAAAGTCGCAATAGTTGTTTTACTAAATGAGTAAGTAGTTTTCATACGAAATTAGGGAGAAATTTCTCTCCGTGTATGTATATATAGATTTTTCATTATAAAGAATTTTATTAGATATAATTATTTTTTAAACTAAATTTAACATAATAAAATTTTCAAGTACTGAATGTTTATATGACAGAATTTTTATTTTACATAATTTTCCTATATCCAACTTTTTATTTAAAAAATTTTACTTTTACCGAATATTAATTTATCAGAAATCTCGTTCAACAAAATTGCAATTTGAATTTTTAAATGTTAGAATTTCAAATTCACCGTCTTTCTGCGGGACGTATGAATGAGCTGTAAACTTAATTTGTTATAATTTTTATTTGACAAAATTTCATTACCTAGCATTTAATTTTAGTCGAATTTTTATTTTTCGAATTATTATGTTACAGAAATTTCATTTTATTTTACAGACTCTTTATTTCATCAGATTTTCATTTGACGAAATTAGTATTTACTCGAGATATTATTAAACAGAATAGTCATTTAAAAGAATTTTTATTTTACAGAAAGAATATTAAAAAGGATTCTTTTCTAGCCAAATTTTTATTAGTTTTAATTTATATTTTATAGAACTCTACAAATGAAAATTCGTTTAAATTAGAATTTTTTAAATAATAAATTAAATGAAGAAAAATTGTGTAAAAGAAGAATTCGTTCATATCAGTATTCGGTTCCTAAAAATTTTTTAAGTAAAAATTTGTTTAAAAAGAAAAGTTTTAAGTTTATAGAAATTTACTACTCTCATGTACATATATATATATATATTTGAAAATTTTATAAATTATCAATAAAATTGTTTGAACAAATAAAGAGTTCATTTTAGAATTATTAAATTTTATTATTAAATCAGAAATAATGATCCCTATAAAGTTTATGGCGGTTTTATATATAAACATATACATATATATGTCCCACATAGTACGGCTTCTTGTTGTGATGTTACTGTAACGATATCTGTAGGGCTTGTAAGGTCACTGTGTAAGCCTACAGTGAACTTGAGGTAATCTTAAAACTGTCGGCTTACAGTAAGCTTACACAGTAAGGTCATGGTAAGCTTACATGCCCCAGATAGCAAAATGTCAGCAATATGCCAGGCATGTATCTCGCAACGTGCCGATGTGATCAGCATGCGAGTTCTCAGTAGATCAGACAGATGGGTCCTCATATGTATCGCATATGTGATAGCTGATTGTTTGCGATATTGCTATCACGAGTGCCACTCACAGCGTGCAAGATTCGTGCGACACACAATTGTTTTCTGGATAGTAAGGTTGTTGTAAGCTACCTGTAAGGTTACTGTAAAGTTGCTGTAAGGTTACTGTAAACATAGAATGTTATTAATAAATAAATTTTATTAATATTTATACGCAGTAGTTTTCTATGGTATATGCGGCTGCGCAGTAAATTTTATTTAACAAACCCTATTGGGGTTCATGTAGTACTTTACCAAATATATAATTTTCTATAAAAAAATTTATAATATAATATATTATAATACATAAAAATTCTATTAAAAAATTTATAATATAATATATATTATAATAATATATTTCATCTTACTCTATGCTTAAAGTAGCCTTACAGATATCCTTACAGCAAGCACACAATAAGAAATCGTGCTATGTAAGGTTGCAGTAAAAGTAATTACAATTGGCCTATGTGTACATTTCTGTAAATTTTTTAAAGTTTCAAAATTATATTTATACTAAAAAACAATAAAAAATCAAAATTTATAATTAATAATTATTACAATTATTGTTCGATAAAATTTAAAAAGTAACACTTGGTATGAGAATAACTATTCAAATTTCGCGCTAAATTTTTTTTAGATTATGACCAAGTTATGACGCTTTTGATCAGCAATAAACGTGAAAAAAATAATAGCAGATAATAGCCATTTTTCATATGAAGCTTGATATTGTATTATAGAAATGTAAAATATTATTAAATTATTAATGTTTTGCATTATTTGTTAATGTTATTTAATGCAAAAAATATATATTTACAAAGTATGAAGCAGAATATTATTATTGAAATAATTATTTGGTATTTAGTAATAAGTGTCTCATTGTATAGAATACAAACCTTCAAAACAAGAAAAATGTATCAAGTGTTACAAAAATTTCAAATTCTTCTATTTAATCACAATTTCTAAATGTTAATAATTTAAAAAATTAAACAAAAACAGTTTGATTTTTCACAAAGTTTGACATTTAAATAATAATAACCCATAAAAATTAAAAAATTAAATTAAATCTCTCTATTATTATTTGGGGGGAGATTATGAGATTTTCATTAAAAAATTTGTTGTTAACTAGGATATTTTTTTCAAAATTTGTATGAAAAATAAAAAAATTCGTATTTTTTTTATTTCTTTATTTGATAACAGTTATTAAAGTTATGATTCTTTTTAATTTAATGTCTTCAGAAGCCGAATATTTTTAAAATGAGTTCAGTTTAAAAATATTTTAAATATTTAGTAAAAAATACCGTAACTATAATGGAAGCATTTAAAAAATTAAATTAAGTCTAAAAAGTTATTTTTCTCAAAACCGAAGTGATAGATTTTTAAAATTTTTTTTGAAATTCAGTCTGATAAATAGGAAACTTTTTTCTGTTTATGTAAAAGTAGTGTTTTTTGCCGTTAAAATACTATTTACAATTTTTAATCTAGATGTAAAGATTTACATTATGTATTTCTGAAAATAATACAAAACAAATGAATGATAAGGAGAAAAAATTATATTTTTAATAAATTAAATGCTTGAAAATCTATATGAGCAATATTAAAAAACTGTAAATAGTATTTTAACTGTATTTATACTTTTACTGTAACAAATATATTATATTTAAATAGTTATGTGATGAATACCTTTATTCATTCAGGTTTTTTTGCCATTTGGAGGCTAAGTTAAGTCCTCATGATTTTGCAGTTAAAACAAATTTACGCCAAATAACACATCTTATATAGAGAATAAAGTTTAAGATAAAGCGCCTCGGGATCACACGATTCTGTAACGATTTATTTCATTAAAGCATTTCTGAGAATACTTTCTGTTTCTTCATATTTCATTTTTTTATAATGTATATATATTCTGTCTAAATTCATTCTTTTGTTAGCATTAAGTAAAAAGCTCTAAGACTCTTTTTGGAAATGCATTAATTGACTGGATAGCATTTCTTTTCCTTTTTTCTCTGTATAATCAGATTTGTAAGCAAAGCGATTGAAAAAATTTTCTATCTAGACGTTTCTTGAAATAAAATCCTTTTTAATAAAAACTGAGAATTTCAAGAAGAAAAATTCTTAACACTTGTAAATTTTTTAAGAATTGGAAAATTGTTTGCTTTCAGACTTGATTCTATTTACATGAAAAATATACAATTTATATTGTTACATTATACAATGGTAATATTTTATGTTCTTTTTTCTTGTTTCTTAAACTGTATCGATATTTTTTATTAGAATCAATCATTACTTAAAAATTAAATATCTTAATTAATGCGCTCAATTATTTTTACATTTATTGAATAATATTTTTGTCACTTCTTTACTTTTTTATTTTTTTTCTCACTTTATTTCATTTCAATTTTTCTAGTCGATTTTAATTTATTAGTATATAAAATCACGGTGAAGTTATAGCACAAAGTACTTAAAATTTGATTTTGTTAACTTTCTACAGAATTTAGTTACAGATCGTTTGTATTTTACAATTACATACCTACTATTACAATTACTTAATTACATTTAACTCTTTAATGAAATCTCACATTTTTCATTACTGTAGCAACTAATTAAAAATATTTAAATTTAACAAAAATTATTATAAAATTAGGCTAATAATTAAATATTAGAAATTTAACAATTTGAAAAGTTATCAATAAATACTTATTTTCATGAATAATATATTTTTCATTAAATCGTTACTGTATTTTACAATTATAGATTTTTATTTTAAATTTTGTGTAAAAAATAAAAAAGAAAATAATACGTAAGAAATTCAACTGGACTTTTTTACAATTCGAAGCAGAAATCTTTTTATTATCCAAGACTTCTTTTATACACATATTTTACAAACTTTTCAATATTTGCTCAAAGAATGTGTAAACAAATTTAGGTTTTTTATTACTAATAATTATAAAATTTAAAATAATATTTAATATTTTAAATATTTTTCCCGAACTATAAATTTAATTATTTTTACTATAAACTTTCTGCAAATTTTGGCAACATTTTATGTCCAGGAAGTGAGACTAGTAAAGTTAAAATTGTCAAAAAACAAATATTATGTCTAATTGTGCTCGACTTGTGTTCATTTAAAAATTCAGATTTTTTAAAAAATTTTCCAAAACATATTTTCAGTGTAAAATTTAAATGTATTAAAAGATAATTAGCACAAATAATAGTATCTGATTTAGAAAAATTATTAGAATTATTAGAACAAAATTTTTCTAATTTTTTAACCCAGAATTTTGAGTTTTTAAAAAAATTAATTTGTGCACAAAAGAATACTATTTGGTACAAAATTTAATTTCTTTTTAATTTTAATTTTAGACGTTTTAAAAATGTTATTTAATTTTGTGCCCGGCATTTGGAATTTAAAAAAATGAATTTGTGCACATGTCGCAAACACAATTTGTCATAAAATTTATTTTCTCTTTCTTGAAAATTTTAATTTTAGGCGTTTTAAAAAATTATTTGCCTGGGATTTTAAGTTTTTCAAAAATGTTTTCAACTTGTGCACATTAGAGCACAAGTTGAGTACATTTGCGCACAAGATTTGTTTTTTGAAAATTTTAACTATACTGGTCAAACTTACTGGACATCAACATTTTCTCATATTTTAAGTTATATAATAATTAGTTAAGAATATTTTTCATAGAAAATTTAATTTAAAATAAACTTAATTTAAAAATTTTTAAACAATTTTCTCTAGATAATTTTATAAATTTTTTTCAAGGATTCAATAGACGATTGGATTCATATTTTTCTTTTAGACAATTTATTATACTATTAAAATCTTATTGCGACTATATCTTAAATTGCAAATGTCATATTCAAAAAATGTTGTTTTTTGCAAAAACTTTGTTGAATACTGAATTACTTTTAATAGTTTTTAATTCCCGAATTTCAAGGGAAATTTTCACATTCGTCAGTATCCATCAAAGTTATCATTTCTAATTGTTGAATACTAGGACTTTTTTCCTTGGCCATTACCAAGACTAGTTGGTGAATAAAGTCCCAATTTCAATCCCAATTCTTTTGGTTTTCTAGGGGCATTTCTAACGGGAAAAGGGCTGAAATTCGATTTTATACTTGGACTTCCTTCAAATCCTGATCTATTGGTATAATCAATATTTCCAAGACTTAAGGACGATTTCTTATGATTCACTGATTCTCTCGAATCATTCATGTTTGTAATATTTAATTTACCTGAATAATCGGGTCTCTTTGTTGCTTCCCCTAAACTCGGAGACAGCTGTGCTGAAAATGGATTTGACAATTGAGCAAATTCTCTGTTGAATTGATTACTCGTAGATAGTAAATGAGATTCTTGACTCGAATTCAGAAAAGATTTATCCTCCATTCCAGGATCCATTAGTTTATAAGGTTGTCTGTCAAATTCCAATTTAGAATCATTTGGCGATATCGATTCATGTTTTCTGGAAAGATAAGTTTCATACTTGTATTCCAATGGTGAAAGGGCACTCGATTTTAATAACCTTTCTTCGCGTGATCCTAAAAACATTTCTTCAGTTTTATCAATTGACCCTAAAAATCTGTCATCAATTTTAGATCCTAGGAATTTTTCTTGCGTTATAGGCCCCAGGAAACTTTCTTCATTCGTGGATACCAGAAATCTTTCTCCATTAGAAGATTCCATAAATTTTTCTTCATTTGAAGTACCCAGAAATCTTTCTCCATTAGATCCTGAGAATCTTTCTTCATTAAACTTCAATTGGATATTATTTGTAGGAGTAGGCTTGTCATTATAATAAGGCGCTCCCTCATTTTGGAATTTTCCCTCACTTTGAAAAGCAGCTACTTTATCTTCATCATAACGAACACGAAATTCCAGACTTTCCTTAGACAAAATTTTCTTGTGATTCATCTCAAAATCGAAATTTTGATAATCAAAGGTTGATTTCTCGTACCCTCGAGCCGAATAAGAATCATTTGGAGATTTTCTTGGAGATATTATTGGTGATAATTTGAATTCGTATGGTTTGTAAGTATCGTAAGGACTCTTGAGAGGTGAAGAGTCAAATGATTTTTCTTCCTTTGAGTAATCTTGTCTTGTTTCCGGATAAGATGTGTTTTTATAAGGAAGAGCTGGAATTATCGCCTCGGGAATTACCTGCGAAGACAAAACTTGAATCTGGTCCAGTTTCTCCAGTTCCCTGTAAATATCAATATCACTTTTAGGTGTAAACTTAGAATATTTCGTTGAATAGGTCTGATGATTAGAATTATGGATTACTGATTGACACAGTGGATTTAATGACTGATTTATTGAATTTAATGACGGACTTAAAGGATTATGACAGAAAGAAGAATTTAGCGTCTGACACAGGGAATTTTGATTCAGTGGACTTAATTTCTCACTGAGGGGATTAAGCGTTTGTCTCAGAGGATGACTCAAAGGACTTAGTGTCTGGCCAAAAGGACAGGGATTTTGATTCACTGTCTGATGCACTGAACTAAATGTCTGATTTACTAGATTCAATGAATGGCTCAATGGATTCAATGACTGATTCATTGGATGAAATTGAATCGGTACATACGAATTATAATTTTCCATCTCTTCCTGAGTCAAGACACCATTTTTTGGTTCAGCTTTTTTATAATTATAGTTATCAATATGAATTTTCTGATCACGTTTGAATGAACCAATTGATGGCGATTCACCATCGTAATTAGTAAGTTTGGAAAGTTCCTCATTTATTTGTCGATCAATAAAAGCGTCTCTAGTTTCGAGATAATCTTGAGAAATAATTTCATCTAAATCAACGTCATCATCGTCACCAATTAACGATAATTTACAAAGTTCATCATTTATTTTTGCATCAAATTCAGATGTAGTGGATGTTATATGACCCAAATCTTTAAAATTAATTTTAGCAAGCTCCTCATTTATCTCGTGTTCATTCAATCCCATTTTCTCCAATATTGGACTGAAGATCTTTGATATCTCCTCATTGATAGGACTGATAGTAATTTCTTTTGAAATTTCCTCTAGATCTGGTAAACGTTTCTTGGCTTGACATGTGAGAATTTTTTGTAAAATCGCTGAATTTTCTTGAATTATTTTTAATGCTCTGTCACTGCTGCTTCGACGACCATTATCGCCAATTTTTCTCGGTTTCACTTTAGTCCAAACACCTAACTTAGATTCCTTGTCGTCATCATCATCTTTATTGTTACTGTTTTGTGTAACTTTTTTTAGTATACTATCACTGCATTCATCAATGTTGATCTTTGGCTCGACTATGTATGTTTTTCTGTTCTCGTTGGATATACTGATACCTGGAATATTGATACGACTTTTCGAGAATCCACTAGCTGAATCGCTAAAAGTATCCTGTCTTCTCGCTTCTAAATTCTGAACATCCTCCCAAATGTAGCCGGTTTTTTTCGTTAGCATATTGGTATCCGACTGACATTCGGATTTTGATTCAAGATGCTTTAAATCTTCTAAAATATCACTCGATCTTTTTTTCACCGTTAATTCTTCATTTGAACTAGATGATGTCAAATTTGGAAATTTTTTATCCAAACTGCTACAACTTCTTTCAAATGGCTTTGGGAATAATTTCTCATTTTCCTTTTTTTTAACTCCTTCAAATGAATTTTCTTTCGGTAGTGCTGACAAAGAATCATCTTCTCTAACAGGATCATCAACAAACTTATATTTTTGATAACTGAGAAAGGCACTTCCACCAATCTTGAGATCCATATAAGTTTCACTATTTTCATAGACTTTGGTCTGTAAAAAATCCGTTGAAAAAGAATAATCAGATTTTAGTGAATATTTTAAAGTCGGTTCTGCCTTTTTGGAAACAGCATCATACGGAGATGGTGTCTTTTGATTTGGATGAGCAATTGGATAAAAGGGAGAAGTGATTGATACCAATTCGATAGGTGGAGTGTCAGAAAGATTACCATTGTCTTTATAATTTGATGAGTACTTTATGGAATTGGCACTGATCGGCGATTGAAGGTCAGAACTGAAAGACCTCTCGGAAGACTTGAGTTTATTGGGACTATAGGATTCACTGGAACTACTTAAAACAAGTTTGGGACTGGAATCTGATTTTGCCTTTAGGGAATCAACACTAATGGGAGTTGATGAACACGATTTATCAAAGGAAGGAACTTTTGGCTCTAATTTCGTTCTCACGTTTATCAGATCAGCCTCAATGGATTGAAGAGTCAATGTCTTTGAGTCCGAGCTAACAGAAGAGGATGTCGATTTTTCAAGAGCTCTCGACTCGGATCTTATAGGCGTTCTGGGACTCATTCTTAAACTAGAAGATTTTGAATCAGGTCCCATGGTTTCTCCAGAACTGGCCGATTCTGGAGTTTGTGGACTTTTTTTCGATAAATGATTAGAGATTGGAACTTTCGGATAAATGTAATCTAAATTAGACCAATTCAATTCAGTTTCGGAAAGTCTGTTTAATTTTTTATCAACAGTTAGAGGAAAAATTGACAAATCATCTAAGACATTATTTTGAGAGGAAGTTCTATTTGAAACTTCATTAAACGAATTATTTCCTATTGAATCACTAATCCCTTGATCTAAGAGGCTATCAAAATTTTTGTAATCATAATTAACGCCTTTGGAATCTGAACTCTCAACACACTCCTTTCGGTCCGATTCATCTAATCTAGCTAAAAAATGAAAAGAGCCGGAAACTTTGAGTTCTTGACTCTTTTTCTGAATTTCACAATCACTGAACACTCCGCTTGCTACAAAATCATTATCACCCGCCGACAATCTTCGAATCTGATCTGTTATTTCGGCAATTGATGTTTCCTCAAGATCTGACGACAGTCCACTGACATGTGATTCAGAAACAGCACCAACAACACAAACACTCGCGAACTCATTTTTCACTTCCGGTTGAATTCTCGATGGTGTTTGGCCAGCAATTGGAGAACATCCTAAACGAGGACTTTTCTCATCATCTGTAGCCATGACATAACAATCTGAAGATGAAGTTGGCTCTTCACTGTCAACATCACTGAGACGATCAGGTTCATCGCAGAGTTCAGTTGATGTACTGTCGCTGTCGCTGTCAGCACTGCTGCGTTTCGATGACGTCATTGTGACCGACATTGTTTCGGGTGAATGCACTAACGTGTCAGGCTGTCCTCCTTCATCTGCAGGAAAGGAAAACAAATCGATAAAATCACAAGTGATAAAACACATTTTTTTTGAAATTTAAATTTTATTTTAAAGAATAATGATTTGATTATGAAAAGAAGATTAAAACCAATTTTTGTTTTTTTTTTTTTAAATAGCGATGATACTACCACTATGTATGTCATGTCGAATAAATATACGGATGTTGACCCTGTAGACCACACCTGCGTCAATACTTGTGTGCCTGCTGAGAGATACAACAGGTGGTTCTTAACGAAAAACCACGAACTTGTACGAGAGATAGTAAGCTAATCGATAAAGCTCGAAGATAGGTTTGTAATCTTTGTTATCTGCCGTAGTTGAAATTTCTTTTAAACTTAATAATTTGGAAAACTTGAAAAAACTGATTCTTATTTTTTAAGATTTTCTTCTTCCGAAATTTTTAACGATTTCCTTGTTTTTTTTTTGAAGTAATTTATTCTATAAATTAAAGAAGAAAATAATTTCAATAAAAGAGTTTATTTAGAGTCATAAATACAATTTTTAATTTATTGTTGTCTGAAAATAACATTTAAAAATGTTCATTCAAGATAAGAATGATTATTTAATAAAAAAAAATTTGTAAACAATTTTTGTGAACACTATAAAAAAAAACAGTCTAGAGAAATTTTGGCGTAAATTTTTTGTCTTTTTGCCTCTTATCGTGGTGCGTCACAAATAAAAATTCAGTTAAATAGAAATTCTGTTAATTAGGAATTCAGTTAATAAAAATACTTTTAAATAAATATTCGGAGAAATATAAATTCGATAAAAAAGACAAATCTATTAAATAAAACTAACGTTTTATGAAAATTTTGCTGAATATAAATTTTGTAAAATTGAATTATTTGAAAATTCCATGCATTAGAAAATTTGCTTTATAAAAGTTCAATTAGGATCATTTGAGGTAAAAATAAACAGTTGATATTTGAGATTAATTAAAAAATTTTAAATTAAATACGACGACATTATTTTAAACTCAGCTCACCTGTAATAGGTTCTGAGTATTGACAATATTTTATTATGACAATTGACAATGCCGTACTTCAACTTATTTCTTAATACACAAAAGATTGAAAATCAAAATTTCACTGTTTCAGTATTTTTGACTCGTATTTGCATAAAAATAAACTGAAAATTCAAACCAACATTCCTTATTAAGAGGATAGACCGTTGAAATTTCAACCTATTGAAATTAATGCTGTTTAAGTTTGTAAATTTTTTTTGACAATATTGAGTATTTAAAACTATAATATACTCTGGAAAATTAAAAAACTATTAAGGAATTAGTATCACATCTCAGTGACTTTTCTTAAACATTTTTTATTTATTTCAAAATTTTTTGTATTTACTTTTTTTATACCTAAAAGAAGGGGTTTTAAACTATTAAAAAAAATTGTTATTCCTTATTTATCATGGCTAGTATTGCTGTCATGGCCGCCTGAAAATACCGCTACTTATTATTGTCGGACACGATATCTCCAATTTAGGTCAACGAAAAATAAAAGTTTTCCTTTTTTCTTGAAAAGTAATCTTATCGCTAGCGTCGGAACTGCGATCAACTGTTCTCAATGAAAAAAAACAAAATGGAGGACTTTTTTCATTTTTGACCTTGTTTTTTCAACTTAAATTGTTTAAAAAAATGATTAAATACACAGCCCACAAAAAAAAGTGTCATGTACTTTTGATAGGAATACCCTAACCCTATGTATTTTGACGCGCTGAACACGAATCCGAAGTCGGTTTTGCTCCATCACGTCAGGATTTTTTTCTAACCTCAAAAAACATGTCGGATTTTGAGAAGTAAGCGATTTTTTTAAAAATTGATGTATTAATTTTAAATTTGGTATCTGGGGGTTTTTTGTGTCGATGATTACGAATCTGAAATTAGATTTTCAAAATCCAAAATGGCGGATCCAATATGGCGGACGAATTTTGAAGAAATTTTAAAATTTACTTCAAACTTGGTATCTAGGGGTTTTTTGGGTCGCTGATTACGAATCTGATGTCATATTTCCGAAATTCAATATGTCTGATTCAATATTAAGGAATTATTTTTAAAAATTTGCAGATTATTACGAAATTTGGTATCTACAGGTTTTCTAAGTTGCTGACAAGTAACACTAGGGAAGTGCCATACGCCAATTTTTCTGAAACTTGGCAGTTTTGTAGTTTTTTGAAAACAATTTGACACGTATGTTTTGTTTTTCCCCAAAAGCTGATTTATGGGGGGAAATACCCCTTGAATTTTTTTTTGGTAGGGGGACATTATTTTACGAAATTTTTTAAAAATTAATGTGCAATAATGTATCTGAGGGTTTTTTGGGTCGCTGATTACGAATCTGATGTCTGTTTTCAAAAATTGAAAATGGCGTATCTAATATGGCCGATAGAAGTCCATGTTGGATATGCCATTTTGAATTTTTGAAATCATGTCGGACTTTGAGAAGTAGGCGATTTTTTTAAAAATTGATGTATTAAATTCAAACTTGGTGTCACTTGTCAGCAACTTAGAAAACCTGTAGATACCAAATTTCGTAATAATCTGACAATTTTTTAAAAATAATTCCTTAATTTTGAATCAGACATATTGAATTTCGGAAATATGACATCAGATTCGTAATCAGCGACCCAAAAAACCCCTAGATACCAAGTTTGAAGTAAATTTTAAAATTTCTTCAAAATTCGTCCGCCATATTGGATCCGCCATTTTGGATTTTGAAAATCTAACTTCAGATTCGTAATCATCGACACAAAAAACCCTCAGATACCAAGTTTAAAGTTAATACATCAATTTTTTAAAAAATCGCTTACTTCTCAAAATCCGACATGTTTTTTGAGGTTAGAAAAAAATCCTGACGTGATGGAGCAAAACCGACTTCGGATTCGTGTTCAGCGCGTCAAACTACATAGGGTTAGGGTATTCCGGTCAAAAGTACATGACACTTTTTTTTGTGGGGCTGTGATATGAATAAAAATTATGATTGTAGTCCCGACGATAGCGGTATATGAGTAGAATATGCCATAAAAATTTTAGCACAATGGGTGCAATAGTTTTTTTTAGGATGTCCGCCAGGTCAACAAACTTTGTTTTGAGAAAAAGCGAATTTACGAAAACATGTATTTTTCAAGAAAATACCCCCTTAGAGGGATTTCAGTTTGAACTTTTTTCTACACAATGCACATACTCTATTAAGATTATATTGTGATTAAATAAAAAAACTTTGAAGTTTTTGAAACTTGATACATTTTTCTTGTTTTGAAGGTTTGTGTTTAATTGTGGGACACCTATTATTAAGAACCGAATAATTATTTCAATAATAATATTCTGCTTCATACTTTGTAAATATATATCTTTTGTATTAAATAACGTTAACAAATATGTTGCAAAACACTCATAATTTAATAATATTTTACATTTTTATAATACGATGTCAAGTTTCATATAAAAAATTGCTATTATTTTTTTTTCACGTTTACAGTACTGCTGATCATACGTCATAATTTGGTCATAACCTAAAAACAATTTGGAGCAAAATTTGAATAGTAGTTCTCTTACCAAGTGTTACTTTTTAAATGTTGTCGAACAATAATTGTAATAATTATTAATTATAAATTTTGAATTTTTATTGTTTTTTAGCCTAAAAAATCACATTTTTAGTAGCTGTGTAAGTATAAATGCGCATGCGTATAGCTGACACAACTTATAATCAGTGTTGCCAAAATTCACATTTCATAAACTTAAATTTTAGCCTGTCCCAGGGTTGAATGTCCCACTGTTTAAATTAAGCAATCGCAAGAAATTATTTAAATAAAAATTGTTTGTGAAATTTTTAAATATTTTTAGTTATTGGATATTATACTTAAAAACATGAGTAAACGAAGTAACGATTACACTTTTTTATTAAACTGTCCTATCTATATAAAAATTAGCATTGTATTTTAAGAAAAAATTTACTCTGGTACGTCAAAAACAGTTTTTCTCAATTTTCTTTGTAATTAATGATTCAATATGGCTAAAATTTTTGGAGATAGTGTGTTGTCATAAACATGGTTTACATTTAAATTTTGGTCGAGTTTCTTTAAGTAGTTTTTCAGAAAATTTAAGTGTCTTACTGTATAAACTCTCCTACTGTTTGTCACCCTCCCCTATAAAAGCATATGTTGGCGCGTGACTTTTACATTGTATCCCGTTTTTCGATATGTTACCGAAGTTCCTAAGCAAAATAATAGTTTCCATAGCATTTCTAAGTATATATACTACAAGAATATGCAGTTTTTAGAAAATTGATTTTTTTGAAAAAAATGTCGTACTACCCCTTAATTGATTAATAATTTTTAAAATAAAACTCGAAATTTTCAAAAAATAATAATGTAAATTTTAATTTTTTGAAAAATAACAAAAATTGTAAAATTGTTAAAAATTACTTTTTTTCTTATTTTTTATAGTGAAATATGATTTTAGGTTCTGAAATAATGTCAACAAAATTTTTTACCCCTAAACAAGACCCAGTATGTTTGGTTTTAATTTGAATGATTATTGCTTAAAAATTCAACTTCTTCCACACTTTTTATCATTTTTATTGAAAATTTTAAGCTTTTACATGATTTTGAAAAAGTTTTTTCAGTCGGGAATCAATCATGAGGATTTTAAAAAATTTTACTATTTCAAAAAATAAAATTTCTAAAATGGTCAAAAAGTATATTTTTTTTAATTTCAATAATTCCTTTAACAACATTAATTTCGATGGGTTGAAATTTCACTTATCCGTCCCATTAATACTATGTATAACAAAAAAAGACTTTAATTTTTCACTTTTGTCTATCTAGTTAATAAAAAATTAACTGTTAACATTTACCCCAAATAACCCTAAATAGAAATTCTATTAAACTCAAATTTAATTTAATTTAAATTTTCATTCTTTGATATGAAAATTTGGCTTATTATAAAATCTAATTTATGAAATTCTACTATAAATAAAAGTTTAATAATTTTTAATTCGAAACAAAAATTTCGACAAGTGGGAAATATTTATGCACTCAGAGAAAAAGGTTTTTTTTGACTGTATTAAACAGTTTATTCATCCTATTTCGTTTGTAACAAAAATAGAGTTTTGTTAATTTAAATCAATACGCTGGGTTAGTGGAAAAAAAGGATACGTCCGTTTGATTTAACTATGACGTGTCCTTTTTTTCCAATAACCCAGTGAATATTTGGTTCATTATAATAAATACTTATATTTCATTTGATTACCACAAACAAAATTTTTATTTAAAGTTGTTTGTTTCTTTAATAACCAAATTAATTATTGGAATAAAGCGTACTATTTAGTTAAAAACAATTTGGTTCACATAACAGAAAAATTTATTTCATTTGACAAAATGATTTAATCAAATTTGTAAACTTCTTAACTTAAAAACTGTACAGGCAGCCAGTGAGAGCCAATCAGAGAGTCAGTAGATTTAAATTTGAATTTTCTGTCTCTCTTACTCTTGTACGTTTTCTGCGTGGTGGGAGGCTGCCTGTGCAAGCAGCTGGAGGTGTGCGAGCGCCTTCAAGCTACTACCTAGCTCATTGTCAGTTCAATTTTCACAGTCACGCGGTTAGATGCACGTGGAGAAATCGTTTTTCAAGTACTTCAGTTTTGAGTGTTGCTACAATGAGTGTAGTAATAAGTATGAAATACAAAAGTGGAATTGTGGCGAATTCCTAAAAATTTTTGAAGGTAAAGAAAGTATTTTCTATTAATAATTTTTGGCTTTTCGTTGTGCAGAGGTTATGTTTAAACTTCCATACATTATATTTTTTATTTTTTTTCATTTTATTTAGATGAGGAAATACAATTCTTTTCCTTCCAAGAGCTACAAGTTTTTCCGTCAGAGTATTATGAGTAGAGTCTGACATTAATAACGTTTCCACAGTTATTCCCTCATCTAAATAAAATGAAAAAAAATAAAAAATATGATGCATGGAAGTTCAAACACAACGAAAAGCCAAAAAGTATTAACAGAAAATACTTTCTTAACTTCGAAAAATTTTAGGAACAAAATAGTTAAAAATAGAAATTAATTTAACCAAAATATTTACTAGAACCCCATGGCACACGATATTTTGCACAAAGGAATGAATTTCGCTCTTTTTTTATGTCAGGAAGAAGGGGCAAAAAAATAAACGGTAACTCCCGTCGGTCGGTAAAGAAGACACATATTTCTCTTTTTTCGCTTGTTCACTATAAAATTTGCTCCCTAAGAAGTTTTTACTCCCGCTACTCCTAACCAATAGAAAAAAAGCAATTTTTTCTTCCTGAACAAACTTTTTGTTTAGATTAAATATACCATTTAATCAAATGAAGTAACTTATTTGGTTGATTCAACTAAAAGTATTCAACCAAATAATTTGGTTTCACCAACCAAACGTTTGATTAACTGTATAGCAATGCATTCTTTTGGTTCATTCAACCAAACTTTTGTTGTTTCAAACGAATTTTTTTCTGAGTGTGCGTCCCGATTTCAAGAATTGTAGAATATTAAAAAGGTGTATAAATAATATAAAACTTACCATCAGGTAAATCCCTGCTATTTTGACGCTTTTTCATATCCTTCCAATGTAAAGTCACTGCTTGTCTATCTTTCCGATTTTGACTCCTGGGACTTAAACGAGGCGAGGATTTCACTTTGGAGGTAGATATTAAAGCGGATGTACCAATTTGACGATTTCTTCCGCTGACCAATGCATTTTTTCCAGCAAGAAGATGATTCATAGCCGATGTTGGAGGTGGAACCAAAGACTGTCTCGCACAAGCAGCTGTTAAATACTTTAATTTTTAATCTTTTATCATAAATAAATTATTAAAGTTTATGGACAATAAATTGGACAAACTATAGAATAACTTAAATTCAAGTATTAAAAGTCAATATGATTTTCCTTTTTTCCATTCTTCACTTTATTTTAAGCTTCAAATTGTTAAACATTTATTTCTTAATTTTTTGTTGTTTAATTTTTCAAGTTATTAAATCGTCGTTCAAAAATTTTTTTCAGAAAAAAAATTCTGATGCAAAATATGTAACAATTGATCTATCATATATCTAATGTAATATTCTAAATGCATAATTTATGTAAATAAAATATTTTCTTACATTACATATGTAATTTTTCATATTCATATATTCTTTAATTTTTTTTAATAAACGTTTTTTTATATACATAATTAAGAAATATGGTAAACAATAATTAATTAAATAATAATAAAGATAAGATAAGATACCAGAAAGTATAATATGGGCTTGACGTTGACGTTCTCGTAATTTTGCATATTGTTGCTTCAGCGTAGTTATATCTAAAGCCAGTTTTTCTCTGTCGCCACTTAAAGTCTGCAAAGTTCCCGAAGCTAAGGAAGAACGATCTGAAAATTAATAATCAATTTTATAATTTGAATAATGATTCAATAAAAATAATGCACGGAAAAATATTCCGGCGCACTCATGCACAGTGGGAAAAAGTACAATTATCGTCTTGAAATTTTATTGAAGCAACAATCTTTAACCGATTTTAATGTAGTAATTTAATTTATTCAAAAAATTCGAGTTATTTTTTTAAAGGTATTTTTAGTGACATACTGCATCCAAATCTAAATAATAAGAGGTTTTTCTATTTCCACATTACAAATCAATTATAAAAAATTAAAAATACAAAATGTCGGAAAAAAGTAAGAAATTAATTTTCTACATATTTACAGTTCGTTATTCATTTTGTTTTATTATTTTTATGTATGACATTTGACAAAATTTTTATTAAATCAATTTTCTATATTACCTACAAATTTTTAATATATATATATATATATATATATATATATATTAATGTATACATATATGTGTATAACTTTATATATATTTATTATAATTATATATAATTTATACAACAAAGAGGTAACAGAAGAATAAATTTACAATTAATTTCTATGACAAAAATAGGGTCAGTTGGGCTAAATGGGGACAGGGGGTAAATGGGGACAAGAGGTGTTGGAGCTTAATTTACAGTTTTAAAATTAAGTTCAACGTCAATATTTTAACCTCAGATCTCCTGCAAGACGTTTTGAGTATTGCCAAGCTTTTATCTTGACAATAGGCAGCAAGATAATTCAAGTTATCGCTCAATGCATAAAAACTTAAAAATCAAAGTCAAACAGTTTCAGCATTTTGTCTCGCATTTCAAAGAAAACAGACTTAAAAATCATACCAAATATTTTTCTTATTCCTTATGACTCATATAACAGAAATTCACTTGAATTTTTGATTTTTGTTAATTTGGTTAATAATAACTAGCTGTCCCCATTTACCCTGAGTTTTCAAATTTTTGGGGTAAATGGGGACAGTTCGTCATTATTAACCAAATTAACAAAAATCAAAAATTCAAATGAATTTCTGTTATGGGAGTCATAAGGAATAAGAAAAAAATTGGTATGATTTTTAAGTCTGTTTTTTTCAAATGCGAGACAAAATACTGAAATAAAAAAAAAATAATGTTTAATTAAAAAATTTTAATTGGTTCAACTATTATATTTATCTACTACAAATTTTTTTCAAGTTTTTTCATCCCTTAATACAGTACAGTAGAGACTCCATTATCCGGACCCCTATTATCCGGATATTCGATTATCCGGACAAATTTAAAATTAATTTTTTTTTTTTAAATATAAAGTTTATAAAGTTTCAAGCCGTAAACTTCTTGGAATAAAATACTCAACCGTAATCAAGAAAATCCAGCAGAAGATACAGACAATTTTGATTCAGGGGAAATCAGTGAGATCATAAAGGATTTACAAATATGCCAGGAATGCAATTCTGAAGATTTGAAAGAATGGCTCAGTTGTGATAATAATGATCAAGGAATTCAAATCATGTCAGATGATGAAATTGTTAATAACTTATTGCAGGCGAACAATCAAAAGGAAATTTGTGAAGACGAAACAGAAAAAAATGAAAGTGAAGAAAATGATGCAGAGCCATCTCATTCAAATGCATTTCAAGCTCTAGAAACAGCTTTACAATGGTTTGAAAAACAAGAAGAGTGCGATACCGTAAGCTTACTGCGACTAAAACAAATCAGGGATATAGCTGCTATGAAGAGAAGAAATTGCTTACGTCAAACGACAATTACCAAATATTTTAATAAAAATTAAATACCATATAAGTCAATTCAAAAACGTGAATTTTTACACGAAACGTTGCGTTTTAAAGTGTTTTAATTATTTTAAGAAAATGTTTATTTAAATATTTTGAAATATTTCTGACTAAACATTTATTAATGTTGACTTTAAAAGTTTTAGTTGTTTTCAGTCTTATTTTAATACATATGCGAATAAATATATGAAATTACGAATCAAAAATTTGTTTAATTCATACTTTACTCGATTATCCGGATTTTCGATTATCCGGACAAGCGCCTGCATCCATTAGTCCGGATAATAGAGTCTCTACTGTAATATACTTGAGGAAACTTTTTTCTTAAACCTTTCTTAGAAACTATGCTGTCTCCATTTACCCCAAATTTTATGAAATTTTCTAAATTTTGGGGTAAATGGGGACAGTCAGTTTCATGATTCATGTCCCCATTTACACCAACTGACCCTACTTATTTTATTTAAGGGATGGGCTCAAAAAGGCCAAAACATGTAAGTCCGTCTATAATTTTTTTTTTTCATAGAATAAATAAATAATTTTATTTGAGCACTTAGTTAGCTTAAATTACTTCTAGAGTTTTATTCAAATTAGAATAAAATTTTGGGATATTCTTGACATATCAAATAAAAAAGAAAATTTTTTTGTTTGACCCATGTAACCCCTCAAAGTCAGTAAAGTTGTAAAATAAAAAAATTTTTGAAATAATTTTCAAAAAGTTGCTCAACATTAATTTCTTTAAGATAAAAAAAAATTTGGACAACATAAAATTATTATTTTTGTATTTTTTTAACTTCTGAACTATAAAATTATATTATAAATAAGAAATAAAATAAACTTGAAAAAGTATTGCTTTGGTAAGAATAAAAATATTATTTCTTCAATACTTGTTGTATTTTGTTCAAAAGTTTTCACAAACACAAAACTTATGTCACCGATGGGAATAGAAAAGGATTAATTTTGATAAAAAATACCTTCCATCTCAGGAATTAGAATTATGTGAAGAAAAAGGAATTCAAATAATGATTTACTTCTCAAGCTAATATAATAGAGCAGTGAAATTTACCAATATAATTCAATATATTATATATTTCATATAATATATATTAAAAATAATATATTTAATAATAATATTTTTTTGTCAAAATTTGTATTTGTTTGAATTTTTATTTAACAGAATAGCCATTTTAATGAATTTTTATTAAACAAAATTTAACCGAATTAAAAAACAGTATAATGATTCTTTGTCATGTGCCAGATTATGTTCATATTATATCAAAAAATTGCATATTTGAGAAAAATTCAATATGTTGGTAATAGAATTTTATCCATTTTACCAAATATGCAATTTTTTTTAAACAAAATATTATTATACTCTGGCAAATGACAACGAATCCTTATATTATTCTTTAATCCTCCGCAAACTTCAACCATTATTTTACGAGAAAACCTACGGAAAATATTTACATGCGAAATCACAACAATCATATGTCCTTAATTGAAATTATGTCAAAAAATAATTTGAACAAGTATAAATTCGGCAAAAAAAAGTGTCCATCTAATGAAATTCTATCAAATAAAAATTCTAACAAATTAATTATGAATTTCTATATGAACCTGGTATTTAATATGAAGTTTTATCTATTTTCTAAGAACATTCATTTTTTGTAAAAAGAAATTATGTGAAAAATTAAATTAATAATTATCACAGTAAGAGTAGAAGTTCCAACTGTCTTAAAAACTGTAAGATATTTCAATTGCAATATCATTGCAATCGAACTACCTACACTGAGAAAACAATGCTATTGAATCTATAGCACGCACATTCACATACGTTCAAAAGCAAATATAATTAACTTGATGCAATATGTAGTTCATTTTATAGCACTGCTACTGAACCAAAGAATACAGTTTCTGATTCAATAGCAGTGCTGTAAAATGAACTACATATCGCATCAAGTTAATAGCATCTGCCTTTGAACGCATATGAATATACATGCTATAAATTCAGTAGCATTTTTTTCTCAGTGTAAAATTTAATTATAATTGATTAATTAATAATTATATTAATAATTAGTTATAAAAAATTAGTCAATTATATAAATTTTCATGAATTAATAAAAGACGTGCGATTTTATAATTTTTTTCATTTCATTAAAAATCAAAACACGTGTGCAATTAATATTGACAGTAATTAACAACCTTTCTTTCTTTGTGGCATACTAAAAATAGCAGCTGCTGCGGCTACAGCCAATCTTTCTTCCTCTTCAGTTTCACTATCATCCTCGTCGTCACTTAATCGGCGAGCCCAGGGTGTAATATTATATCGATGCTTTTCTCTGAGACTCGTGACTCCATATAAAGACCCCATGCTGACGATAGTCTGCAAAAAAAAGTTCTTTATATTTCGATGAAAAGAGCATTCACTATCTAAGAGAAAAAAACTTTTGAGGTTAAATGCCACGTGGAAAGGATTCCCTGGAAATTTCATTTGGAAAAACCTCCAGAATTTCAATAGAAATTTTAATAATTTTTCGATTAATAGGTGTTTTTAAGTATGAAAAATATATTTTTGATTTATTCCTTCGTGCAATTTTGCTGAATCAAAAAAAAAATATTTTCGAGGTGTGACGTCACTTAAATTCACTTGTAGGAAAATCAGCTAGTCCAAATGTAATAAATAATATAATTAAATTACCTTTCAAACCGTCGGTGTAGAATAAAATCCTATGAAAATTAACAGACTTATAGTTGATCAAAGTTCAAATTTCATGCAAATTTTGATTATTTTTAGAAACTTGTCTAATTTTTGCTAATTTTTCCTAATCCCACATAGCACGACTTCTTGCTGTGAGGTTACTGTAAGGATATCTGTAGGGTTTGTAAGGTTACCGAGTAAGCCTACAGTAAACTTGAGGTCATCTTAAAACTTTCGTTATTACAGTAAGCTTACTCAGTAAAGCTAAGGTAAGCTTACACAGTAAGGTCGTGGTAAGTTTACATGGTAAGGTTGTGGTAAGCTTACACGGTAAGGTTATTGTAAGCTCCCCGTAAGGTTACTGTAAGGTTACTGTAAACATGGAGTAATATGAAAATATATTAAAAATAATTATATTATAATATACATATATTATATTAAACATTTTTTTATAAATATTATAATATGTTTGGTAAAGTACTTAATGAACCCCAATAGGGTTTGTTAAATAAAATTTATTGCGCAGCCGTATATGCAATAAAAAACTACTGCGCATAAATATTAATACAATTTATTTATTAATAACATGCTATGTTTACAGTAACCTCACAGCAACCTTACAGTAACCTTACGAGAAGCTTACAACAACCTTACCGTGTAAGCTTACCTTATAGCTTTACTATATGTGTAAGCTTACTGTAATGGCGGAAGTTTTAAGATGACCTCAAGTTTACTGTAGGCTTACACGGTAACCTTACAAACCCTACAAATATCCTTACAGTAACCTCGCAGCAAGAAGTCGTACTATGTGGGATCCAAAGAATAAAAAAGTTCATGTTTAAATTTTTATCGATAGTCCATTTAATTACGAAAATTTTGAGCTCAAGTAGAGCACAATCGGATAAACAATAAAAATTCAACACTATATTTAGTGAACAAAACAATTTTTTCATTTTTAGTAACCTCTCAAGTGATTTCGATCTAAATCTCATATGAATTAAAAAATCCATTTCTTTGATAAAAATTTTAATATTTTTAATTATTATGAGACAACGGTCCACAAATTAATTCTATTTTGTGAAAAAATGTTTTGTGCAATAAATCAATACTAATTTAGTAATTATAGAAATAAGAAAGAAAAAACATTTGCTGTGAGATTTTTAGTAAAAATGCACGAAGAAAAAAAAATACAAAATATGTTTTTCTTTCTTTCTTGAAAAACAAAATTCTAGCCATTGATATTTATAGAAAATTTATGCGCTCCATTTTGATAAAGAATGGAATAGACAATATTATAGTTTTGTTCTTTAGAGAGTAAGATTTTTAGTTGTTTTAAATGATGTTTAAATATTTTGTTTTTTGAAAAATTTTATTACTGAATTTCTTCTGTTATCTTATTATTAAAAATTGAACTTCTATTTAAATATAAAAACAAAATTCCAACACTTGCACTAGAATAATCTTCGTCTTGAACCGAAACCACATACATATTGCGAAAGCATATTGCATCGCGAACTTAACAAAATATTTAGTTGCAATTACTTAAAGAAAACATTTTAAAAATTGAGCATTGCCTAAAGTTTACAGTGAAATGTACACTCAACCATTGCATTCTAAAACTAAAATAAATTGTCTCAAAATGTTGTTTTAATATTACTTTTAAAAAAGAAAAAAAATGTTATTAAACATTTAAATTAAATTATAAAGTGCACATGCACCTGACCTTTATTAAGTTGTTTGTGTCTGTAAACTCCAACATTTCCCGCGTGAGCACACCCATTATGCTGTAAAACTCATCTGCTGACTTCACGGTCATTATTCGGCTGTAAAATTGTGTTTCTTAATTTCTCCTGTTCTACAAATTTGATATATTACAATAAAATATAACAATTATAACAAAAAACAAATAAAATGAAATAAAAAAGATTAAACAAAAAAAATTAATATGTTAATATTTGTTTTTTTAAATATTAATTATAATGTTTACAAGAAAAGGACTCACCTCTGAAAACCCTAAGAGTCATTTTCACTATCATTTGCTATGCGAAAATGACACTTACGCTTTTTCGAGTTAATCTCTTTTCGAAATTCACAATTCAATTGAATTTAATTTTTCAAAACTTATAAATACAAATAAATTACTCTGAAAGTCCTTCCCAAATTGCCAACGCAGTTCTCAAGAGTACTTCATCCCCTTCGAGAAATATGAGATCCCAGACCCGAAGAACTGCTTCTTGAGGTAAACAGTGACAAAAGAGGGTGAGAAACCATTGCATCGTAAACACATTTGTCAATGGCGGTTCGTAACTGCTCCCTAAAATAATCAATTTTCTTAAAATTTTATAAGTTAAACCCAAGTAAGTATTTGCAAATAAATATTTGCTTAAGGGGTAACATCACCCAATCACTTTCAAAAAATCGAATTTTTTTGCTTAAATGGTTCCTTAGGGTGTTAGAAATAATATCACATTAGTTCTATAAGTCAAAAAAACATGGCATTATTTTTAAATAATAATTTTCGGCGAAAAGATATATCGCATATAGTAAGAAAATTTAATATAATAGAAAAATTAATTCAAAAAGCGAAGATAATCTTACTAATCACTAGTCGGAGGCTTTTGATGTCGCAAATTACGAATATGACGTTAGATTTTCAAAATTCAAAATGTCGGATCAAATATGGCGGCAAATTTTTTAAAAATAGTCAAATTAGATACATAGTCCATCATATTGGATCCGTCATTTTTAATTTTGAAAATCTGACGTCATATTCGTAATGAGCATACCCAAAAACCGTCGAGTAACAAGTTTTAAGCAAAACTGACCATTTTTAAAAAATTTCCGACATTTTGAATCTGAAAGAAAAATTTAAAAACTAACGTTATATTCGTAATCAGCGATCCCGAAAACCCTATAGCAACAAGTTACATGTAAATCGTCGTCTGCCATATTAGAACCGCCATTTTTAATTTATAAGAAATTTTTTTTTATACCAAAGAATACAGCAGTAGGAAAACCATCATTGACAATATAGGGTTTACATTAAGATAAATTTATTTATGTATTATGTTTGCACATAATTAAAAATGTTATTTTTTTAATTTAAACTAATAATATGTTTAATTTATAATTTATTTTGTTCAAAATAAAATTGTATTTCAATTTGTTGAAAGTCTAATTGAGAGAATGTTCCAATTTCTAGACATTCAAAATATAGAAATAAAAATTTTACGATTATATAATTTAACAATTCAAATTAAAAATGCAATACTTTATAGTATTGACGCGTATAGTTTGCTAGGTAATATTAATATTAATAAAATAATATATTACTATATAAATGAAAATTAGATGTTGATTACAGATAATTAAGAGAAACAATTTTAATAATGTAATAATAATGTATATGGATAATAATGTATGACCTGTAGCTTTGTCCTTGGCGTCTGTTTGCAAGGCCTCAAGATGTTTTGATAACCTGGGTAACCTTATTCTTAAGAGGTCACGAAATACGGCCATATCAACTGAAAGTCCACGTAAATTGTCGGCGAAATATCCTTCTGGTAGGACACCTTCTATTAAATAGATCATCACTTTAACAGCTGAAGATTCTGCGCGATCAACAACTTGAAGAATCAAAGCTGCCAATACATTTAAACCTTGGCAATAACCCACGGATTTATTCCAGCGAGCGAAGCCAAGTAACACTCGACGTAGAACTGCCTGATTATCTCGGCCGGCTGCGCCACAAAATAAACTACAACCAGTTCTGTGAAGGTCCTGCAAAAATTTTTATTCAAAAAATATTTTTTACAATTTTATACGAATTAAAATGTTTTTTTATTAGGGTAACTGCACCAGTGGTGGATCAGTTAAGCCCCTTAACTTTCTTATTTTGACTTTGAAGTTCTGTATAGGTTGTTTTTAGACAAATTCGAGGTTATTCTTTATAGTATTATGGACCAGATAGTTCCAATAGACATTTCCTTCAAGGTTAGACTTAATTTTGACACCTACGTTTACTTTAATGCTCCATCAAAGATAATTTGTCAGTGATCCTATTCTGGATCACTGTTTGCACCAGTCATGGTTATAGATTGCTCCAGTGGTGGATCACTTAAAAAATCATACTAAAAAACATTGCATTTTAAAATTACGAGACTGAGACGTTTTGCAACTTTTATAAGGCTTTACGGACAGATTTTCAAATTCATTTTCCTATCCATATCCCCTCCTCTTTCATTTCTATAGGTATAATGTGACTAAATATTAATTAATCATCTTTTTATTAGAATTTTTGGTAATAAATAAATAGAAACTCTTAAAGCTTCAGTTTCAATGATAAATAACATTTATTAATTCTGGGTATTTTAATTCAACAAAAATTTAACAATTTGAAATCAGGGGGTCGATTACGTAACTTTCCCACTTCCCACATCCCACTTCCCACATTTTACATCCCACATCTCACTTCCTACATTTTACATCCCACTTCTCAATTCCCACATTTTACATACCACTTTCCACATCCAACATCTTGTGGGAAATGGGAGAGATGTGAGAAGTGGGATATATAAAGGTGGGAAGCGTGATAAAAAAAGTGTAATGTACAATGTGAGATGTGAAGTGTGAAAAGTGAAATGTGAGAAGTGGGATGTGAAATGTGGGAAGTGAGATGTTGAATGTGAAATATGGGAAGTGGGATGTGGTATGTGAAATATGGGAAGTGGGAAGTGGATATGAAATATGGGAAGTAAGAAGTGAGATGTGAAATATGGGAAGTGAGAAGTGAGATGTGAAATATAGGATATGGGATGTAAAATGTGGGAAGTGGGATGTAAAATGTAGGAAGTGAGATGTGGGATTTGGGAAGTGGGATGTAAAATGTGGGAAGTGAGATGTGGGATGTAAAATGTGGGAAGTGAGATGTGGGAAGTGGGAAAGTTATGTAATCGACCCCCAGGTGTTAACAATTAATAAACATTTGAATTAGTGTTAACTAAAATTTAACTCATAAAATTTTCAATAAAACAATGCGTCAACAGGCGAAAAGTAGGACTGATCCACCACTAGATTTTGTTACTTTTTTGGTTCCAGTCGTGGATCACCCGAAAACAATGGACACGCGCTACTTACAGACGTAAATATTGTTATCAGGGCTCTATGGGGATGAAACGAAATGCCTCCTATTGTGAAAAGAATTAAAAATTGTCCTAAAATGGCTCCAAAGCTTTCTATTCCAAAATATACTCTTAACTTACATGTTAAGGAAAACTCTTGTTTTCTGTCACCACTTTAGTAATTGTTGTCCTGCTTTCTTCGCGATGAATTTAAAAATTTTTTTAAATTGTAATATTGATCTGTATAACTTTCTTAACAATTACCGACACTTGCGGTTCATTTACTTACAAACGTGTAAACACAAATGACCATTTTTCTCGCAGTTGATCCACCACTGGTGCATGATCCACCACTGGTGCAGTTACCCTATATTTAGTTAATAAATAAAAATAAATATTAAAAAAAAAATAAAGTCTGTCGTTAACGACCCATAAACACCATTTATCCTTTCATTCAAATTATAAATTACACCGTCTGACAAAATTCAACTTTTTTTTCACACACGAAAAAATCAATGATTTTCAGAAACTAGGACCAAAAAAAAGATACCCGTGTCTGGGCGTTTTGCTAGATCAGGTCATTTTTTGCTTTTAGGGGTAAAAACAACCCTTAATTGAAAGGTGATAGGAAATCTTGTACAAATAAATAATTTTTTATGAAACCTGGTATCTCGGGGTTTTTTGTGTCGATGATTACGAATCTGAAGTTAGATTTTCAAAATTCAAAATGGCGGATTCAATATGGCGGTCGAAATTTATAAAAGTTATAATAATAATATAATCAGCGACCCAGAAAACCCCGAGATACCAGGTTTCATAAAAAATTATTTATTTGTACAAGATTTCCTATCACCTTTCAATTAAGGGTTGTTTCTACCCCTAAAAGCAAAAAATGACCTGATCTAGCAAAACGGCCAGACACGGGTATTTTTTTTTTGGTCCTAGTTTCTGAAAATCATTGATTTTTTCGTGTGTGAAAAATCGTGTCGGACGGTGTAATAAAATCGTATTCCTTACGTCAAGACGAATCGATCGATATATATAAAGTATACATTTGAGGTAAATTTAAAGAATTAATGAAAGTTAAAAAATCAAAAATTCACATTTTGTCAATAAAATTTTGCTTTCTCCACGAGGAAGCAAATTTTTTTGCTGATCTTAAGAGGAAGGAAAATGTTCATGTAATGAACATCTGAATTTACAACTTGTTTTAATTATAATTTAATAACATTTTTAATCAAAAATATTTGGGAAAAAAATTAATTTTTTTATCAAAGAAAACACTGAGAAAAAGAATTATTTGTTTCAAATATAAAGATCAGTTTAAAAGTTTTTGTTTAACCCAACACAGTTTTTATGTTTAATTTTAATATATAGAAAATATTTTCTACTTTGGCTTAAAATTATTATTTGTTTGAATAATTATGTTTGATTCAAACATATTTTCTGTTTGGCTTAAACTGAAAATATGTTTAAAATTTTTATGTTTGATTTAAACATAAAAATTTATTATGAATAAATTGAAATCAACCATAATTTATGTTTAAATTAAATATATATTCACATTGAATCAACCAGAGAATACATTAAATTTAAACATAAATATGTTTGACTGTATAACAAAGCTATTTTAAGTTTGGGTTAAACATTATGTTTGAATCAAACATATCGTTTTCTCAGTGAAGGTGAAAATATTTGATCAAAAATATTTGTGAAAAAATTAATTTTTCATTAAAAATATTGTAAAAAATAATGAATTATTTTATTAAAAATATTGTTGAAAATAATAATTATCTTATTTAAACCAATATTATTGATTAGGTACAATATTACTTTTTTTGATAACATAATACATCTTTCTGACCAATATTTCCGTTCAGCAAGTATAAGAGTTTTACTTTTTATAAAAACGATTCAGAAAAAAGTTAAAGAAAGAAAAAAGATGAGTGCTGCTATCTACCTTCTAAAAAGCTCGGCTATATTAATTTTATCGACAAATTTTTTCTCATGCATTTTAGGTTATGTTTATAACCTGTCACTATTTAATTATCAAATTGGACATTGTCTTTGATTTTCTGTTATTTTCATATTCAAATTAAATAGTGAAATGGTCTCCGCAATTGTATTATTACCAAAATATCTGAAAAAATTCGTTTAATTTTGAGTCGATTCAATTCGGCCATGATTGATATAAATTGATTCAATTTTTTGCATCAAAAAATGAGACTGTTTCGTGTATCATTTCTAAAAATGATACACAAAACGATCTCTTTTTGATATAACTTATGTGCATCAAAACGTTGCAACGATTTGATGCTATTTTTGGTTTCAACTTGATACTTTCAAGAAAACTGTGACGTTATAAGGATTGACTGAACTAATCAAAACAGAAACCATGGGGCCATTCTCTGCCAAACGGACACTCATCCCTACTGCCCAAAATTGGTTTGATATTAAAAAATCATTCGATAAATGAAATTGTAGCTTAAGATGTCTAGTTTCATTTTATTCCAGTCAAGTTAGCATTTTTAGATGTATTAACTCAGGACCTCTATTTTATTTTGCTTAAACACTTCATTTTGGGATAAAAATAAAGTACCTAAATTTGGTACTTCGAACTCCTACCGGAACCTAAAAATTTCTTAAGAAATGGTTGCAAAAAATCAGTTTTTTTAGATTGCCGCCTTCATGTCATTTTAGCAAAAAAATAGTTAGTATAAAACAGAAATTGTATAAAATACTGATCAATTAGATGAAAAAATGAACCCTGTAGCTCAAAAATTAACCGAGACATCCCACATAGCACAACTTCTTACTGTGAAGTTACTGTAAGGATATCTGTAGGGTTTGTAAGGTTACCGTGTAAGCCTACAGTAAACTTGAGGTCATCTTAAAACTTCCGCTATTACAGTAAGCTTACACATAGTAAAGCTATAAGGTAAGCTTACACAACAAGGTCGTGGTAAGTTTACATGTTAAGGTTGTGGTAAGCTTACACGGTAAGGTTATTGTAAGCTTCCCGTAAGGTTACTGTAAGGTTACTGTAAACATAGACTGTTTTAAGATGATCTCAAGTTTACTGTAGGCTTACACGGTAACCTTACAAACCCTACAGATATCCTTACAGAAACCTCACAGCAAGAAGTCGTACTATGTGGGGTAGCTTCCGCAAAAAACCAATTTTTTTGGAGATTTTAGCCAAAATTCGGTATTTTTCAGTTTTTCCAATATAGCTTTAAAATAAATGATTTTTTGAAGTAATGAACAACCAGAAAGTTAAAGCTGACAAAATTCCTGACAATTTTAAAAAAGAACAATGTAATAGATCTAATAGTTTCCGAGATACAGTCTCTTAAATTTGATACGTTTGAGGGTCAAAAAGGATACAAAATGGAGGCGAAAATATAAAAGTTTGATCAGATTTGCCTGAAACTTTTTATTCGGGGGTTTTTGGGGTCGCTGATTACGAATTTGATGTTGGTTTTCGAAAATTCAAATTGGCAGATCCAAAATGGCGCTCAAAAATATAAAAATTTTATTAGATTTGCCTGAAAATTTTTACTTAGGTTTTTTGGGGTGGCTTTCCTGACGGATTTAATTTACCTAAATTTGACCCAGCTGGAGCGAATCTAAGACGAATTCGAGTAATAATAAAAAAAG